ATGAATCTCAGTCACACGTCGCAAATTTCCTCCCCCCGGTTTGCTTAGGCAAAAGCCGCCGCAGGGTGTATCGCGCGCGGCGGTGGGTGTGGTAAGCAGTGAACTGGACCCTCCTACAGTATACCCACCGTAACCCCGGAATGAGGTGCTACCGTAACGAATGGATATCATTTCGTGTTCAGCATGTCAAATAACCCCCTGCACCAAGTTTCACAGAATTTTGTGATTTTGACCTCCTACCGTATACCCACCGTAACCCCCGGAAAATGGCGCTATCGCACGAAATCGATATGATATTCGGCATCAGCGGATTGAATAACCCCCCTATACCGAGTTTGAGCGAAATCCGAGATTTTTAATTTTTGGGGTTGGTATAGTGGAATAGTACCCTTTTGCTTTTTCTGCATTCGTCATTTTTTTCTTCTCTGATCTTTTTTAAACGACCTTCACTAATTATGACGTCAGGAAACAACCTTCACTTTTAATGCCCTGTCTCTAGACTATCGAAGGTATGACTGAATCAAAACGTGGAGTAGCCAAAGCTACAAAATTTCGAACTGTTTGCGCTGCACGAATGCCTTTGTGCATTCCAACAAACATGCATGGCAAAAGGATTAGATTTGCTTTGATATTTTGTAAAGAGCATGGGCCTTTATAAGGATTTATTTGTGGATCCAGCTAAAGTTGCAACGTTTGACTTCCCAAGCTTGCTAAAAAATCAACATTCAAATCAACTTGTTTGTCCATTCCGATTTCATACACAATGCCTATCACTAAGCCATCCAAGTGCCCCATACTTTCTTTTCTTTAACAAAGTAAAATTGAATTGAAATAAAGGTATGAGCGACCTAGATTCATCTGATAGCTTGTTGAAAAAAAAACAGCAACCAGATTTTGGATGAGAGGTTTCTTATCATTCTGCGATAGCAAATTGCGCCTCCAATTTATTCTACTAATTTTATAGAACCCCTTCACATTTATCCGATTGAAAATATATAAATTATGAGAATTGTGACTTACTTGAATAGACTGATTAGTAGCCATAAACAGCGTGCTCCACCTAAGTGTGGTTGTGGTTGTCTCCATCCCAGCCAGGTAGAAATCCATGCATACGTTGAGAAGATTCTCATAGCTAAATAGTTTTGACATTCTCTTCCATTTTCGTTTTCTCCTCCCTTCTTTTTTCACGGGAACGACTCACTCTAAACTCTTGTTGGTCTGCATTTTCTGATAATAAGCTTGCACGAAGCACTCTGGCTCGTCGTCTGGATTGTAATTCTTCAAACTGCGTTCTACATCTTCTTTGATGCTCTTCAGTACCTGAAGAAGAGAGCAATAAAATGTGTCCTTGGTATGTTGGACACAAACCCCAGACATCATGCGCTCGAATCGTCCTTTTGCCAAGTAACCGATAATAGGTACGTGAAACAGAAAAGGAAACATCTGCGCGAACATTGTCAACCTGCTCTCTCTACAAAAGTCTGATAAGGGTCGCCTTAGGAGCAGTTGAACTCAAGCTGACCTCATGGCGTTAAATAATTCGTTGAACTGGTCAGCGTTGCCCATCAGACGATCGCTGTTGTCATAGTCGTAGCTGAAACCGAACAGCGTCTTGTTAATGATGTTGGCGATGAACACCTGTAAAACATCATTTTTCACAGTGAATATCTTGGTAACAGCGGAATTATTTTCACTGGTTAAAAAGATTTCAAACTACGTGACTTTTGCAAAAATCGCTCAAGCTGCGTTCAGAGTAGCCCGTGCCGGAGCCATGTCGGCACCCACATGAGAACGTCCGCGTTGATCGGTCGACATTCCGCTTGGCGCTGACACGGCGCTGGTGCGATTTCGGTGCGGATTCTTTCTGGTACGATTTGGTGCGATTCTGCACAAGAGCGACTGTGGACGCCGCTGATACAATGGAAGAAAATAGAAATGTCAGTGAAGTGCTTTACGCTGCTTAATCATATAAGCTGTTTCGAAAATTCTAACAATTTTCCTAATAACCAATATCCCACTAATAGTGAGTCTAACATTTCAGGTTACTTGCGCGTAACATATACAAAAGTGAAAGAATTGGCTCTTATTCGCATAAACACTTTCATTGGGGTAGGGGAACGAAAGACGCCAATTTGGGCCGCCTCCGCGGACTGCTGGTCCTGGAACGACATGCAACAACACTGCAAAAGGACCAGTTGGCCGCGAAAGGTGGCTCAAACTGGCGGCCTTAGTTTCCCTACCCTCTTCACGGCGGTCGGGAATTTTTGTTTGGGAGGAGAGAGCAACAAGGTTTTTTTTTCGAATAAGGAACATGGCGTTAGCCACACTCTCCAATGGGTTATTTGAGATGCTTCGAAGCTTAGTCAGCCTGTGACCCCGAATTTTCTCGAGAAAAAGGGGTATGGCACTAGCCATGCCCAGAAGATTTTTTTGCATAACTACTTTGAATTTTTTCATAATTTAGAGTATTCTTTCTTGCGCAATATAACCATGTAGGCAAACTTGGGTGACCCCCCCCCCCTCGGCCCGCCACTGCAGCATTTACAAGTAGTTCACTTATGTGGCAGGAAGAGTTGCAGAAAGCATGAGCATACAAAAGGGGCGTGGCCTAAGGCGGAGCTAAGTAATTGTACTTGACCACTTGGCAGCACTGCTTTGAAGCAAATGTTTCGCAACTTTTCTGATAAATTCTGAAGTGAGAAAACTACGCTAGTGGGCTTGGTACCTCTGTTAGATGATTGAATCGGAACACCTTTATTTCTGGTTGTCTGAGATTTTATCTATTAGTATGAGTATTAGTTAACCTGAATTGGATGCCGTAGATCAATTGCATCCTTGTCCTTGATGGATTCCATGTGGGCAAGAAATTCTTGGGCGGATAGAAGAATCTAAAAGATTTTTCGAATCAAACATGAAACCTTGAGTATGATAAGGCGGTAAATATAGCTGCTTTCATGCGTACCTGCTCTTCCATTAGATTTTTTCCCATGCCAAAATCTCTCAAAATATGAATTGATGTTCGTCTTTGTTCCTTCCAATTATCACCCTGAAAGTTATCTCTGTTGTTACAATACTTGATCTTATGACATTCTGACGTCATTTTCTGATTAGTGATAGATCGGCAAATTAACTGGTTCTTGGCCGTAGTTTTTACCAACCTGAGAGAAAATGACTCCTCCATTTTCGACATTTTGAAAGAGAGTATCGGGAAACGCATTTGTTCTTCCAGAGAAATCATCACCTTAGTAGATCATGAATAGATCAGTGCTAAAAAATTTTGGCAAATGGTTACTGTAGACTCTCACCTTTCTTGGCAAATGCTTCCTTTATGAGATCGTAATCCGTGATAACCACGTATGGTAAGGGTAACCATATTGTGTACACGTTACCGTATTTCTTTGAATATTCGGAAAGATTTTCATGTAGCCTTCGGAAATCTACCTGAAAAACCTCTCGACTCAAATTTTGGAGTTTTTTTTTTCAAACTTTTCATACCGATAACAAGTTCCCAAAGAGAGGAATAGGTGTGGGTCCTTTTGGATAGCGTTTCACATTTTCGTAGAAAAGCCATATGTAGAGACCAAGAGCACTGATCAAGAATAGAATTACTAACAAGAACATGCTGTCGGCGATTAGTCGACCCTGGCGCTGTTCTTATACCCGAGTCGCCAAGTTTTTGTAGTCTGTGCACTACAAAAAAACACGCTACAAGAGGTGTGCTGGGAGTGTGAAGATAAGGAAAACAGGCGAAAAGGGGTAAACATGGTCTCTTGACACCATCAGGTTACTGATCAGATACGGAAACGTTCGCGCACGCCAGATGCTTCAAAACTTTGCCCGGCCATATTCGGTGCAGTTATTAGTTAGCTGCGATTCTGTACGTTTGTCGGAATTTTCATTCTCGTTGTGAAATCCAATCAGGATGAGAACACCGAAAGGAAGGGTAAATATTTATTTTCTTCTGCAAATAAATCATTCTATCAAGATACTCAGACTTTAATTGTCTAAAATCATAACATAAGCGTCATTTTCGCTTGTAACGCATTACAGCTTCACTTTTACTTCAGTGTCTTGTACATTCTTCCACAATTCTTGTCCTCGGTTACCAAACGCAATTTGTTTGAGAAATCCCAATGAAAAAAGGAAAGCCCAAAATTTAATTGTTTGCCACTCTCTCTCAGAAGAGGAACCTTTTGACTTTCTTCCCGTCTTCGTTCGGCACTTTTCACCTCACTGTAAAACTTGCTACATTGAAAATGGAAAAGGGTCAAAGAAATGAGCAGTTTATTTAAAGCTCAGCTGAGCCTGTACACTCAAAAGAATGGCCGAAAATTATAAGTCCAGACTTCCTTCCGAACCGTACCCGTTACAAGCGGACCAATCAGCACATCATACTCGAGGAGCTGATTGGTTGGTCCTTCAGAAAAATCACTATTTGGTCGAGATTTAAATTGAATTGTATATACTGCCGCTCAAGCAGTGGCTCAGTTACAAGTACATTTCACCTGAGAAACCTGTGCACGGGAGGAAGGGGGGGGGGTTGCATTTCTCAAATTTTTGTCTAGTGGCTGTTACCTGAATTTCTCAATTTTTTTGTCTAGTAGTTGAAATTTCTTGTTTCTCGGTTAGAATAATCACATGTCTGACAAAAAACATCACTGCTGCCATCTGTTTCGAGTGCAAAAATAAATAAATCCTGACTTGTAGATCGCACTGCTCTTAATGGGATAGACGGGCAACTTGTAGAGTCTGAAGCTCCTCGGTCTCAATGTCATAGAGGAGGTGACAGCGAGGGGAAAAGGAAGGGTTGACTGGATTCCAGTTTCATTTTATTTCGTCATCAAAAATGTCATGGGGTAAATCTAGAAGTCAATAAATGCATGTATCTATGTTAGCGCAGGGCCAAATTCAGGCACTAAATCTGTTTGACTGTCAATCTGTTGCTGAATTGTACAGATTCTGTCTGATCGCCAATTTTTATAGATAGCTATAGCTTTTATGTCTCGTTTTACTATGCACACATTTTCTCAAAATTCTTTACTTCGCCCATTTGTACATTGTTTTTCAAAATACCACTTTATGTCTGGATGAAAGTCGAAGTGCGGCTCGGATTTTGCAGTACGGAGTCGCCAATTTCACCCTATAAATCAACTTAGCATAACTTTTGTACTCAAAATGTTCAGCTCTCACCTGAAGATGCTCAATTTTCCTTTCAATTTCGTCAGGTTCCATAGGCGACACTGAGTCTCCATGGTCAATCTCGATCTTCTTTGGATTAACGTCTCTATGTTTCTTAGCCGACGTCGCCGTAGAAAGAACTCGCATCGCTTCTGAAAAAAAGATTCTGGCTTTTTTTCGGGAAATAAGTCAAGGTGTGCCAGCCCACTTGGAGAAGGATCAATCCATCTTGCAGCAACTAGTGAATAGTACAATGGCACCAGAACGACAACACATTCGAGAAAGATTATGAAGTAGGACTGAAAACTGATATATAGAAGTGAAGTCCCCGGATGGCGTTCAGAGTTGCCCGCGTGCCAGTGCCGTGCCAGTGCAGTTGTGGAGACGCCCCATATCGACTGATCGACAGCGCCAGCATTGCGCATTTAGAGCAACTCTGGACACAGTCTAAAGAGTTGAATACATTACATCAAACATATCGACCAGACAGCGACGACGAAGGTAGAATAAATGAGGCTACTAGCTCCACTCCCTTTTAAGTTTCGCATGTTTTTGTTTGTTTCGACACGCTTTGACTACCTCTTCATTTTTATCGGGAGATAGGATTGCACCGGTGTAAAAGCATTCTGCGAATTCAAAAACTCATCTATTGAGGTGTTCCAGGAGTCACCATACCTTCGATACATAGAGCCATGTACTCTGGTAACCTTCACTTTCAGCGTCATGATAGAACACAACCTTCACCAGGGGAGAAGTACAGAAGTCATCCGGGGCGAAGCCCCGGAAATTATGACATAACTAATGACATAATTGTATAGGGATGAATTTAAATGAGGCAAATATAGCAGTGACATTTAAAAGAAGCTCAAAAAAACCGAAGGATTGCGTTTTTATGGCCTTTTTTGTTGAGAAGAAGGTTTTAATTTAAAAATTCTATCAAAAACTAGGGCAAAATTTCTCAATTAACCTTTCTCTGAACTGCGGTTGAATGTTGGAAGTTCATTAAAGCCGCTAGAGTTTAATAAAAACGAAAAACTGCGCTCAAATCTTGCGCAGAGAGTCGCTACTTAAATGCTGGTCTATCTCGTTATGGAGTGATTTTCAAGACCCGCGACGTCATCAGTGCTCCTGGCCGTCTCATGAGGATCACAACGATATATGATTTTGCAGGGTTTCGTTGAGACCCTGCGAAGATCCACGACCAGAGCCAAATGCCCCGTCGGCTCTGGTCTGTCTCCGCTGCTCGTCTGCGTCTCCGCGCGCTGCGCGCTACCTCGCTACCTCAAATGCGGGGCGCGGGGCATTTGGCTCTGGTACCCTTTTCTTCGTTGTTCGAAGCCCAATTTCGATAATTTATATATCATATTAAAGCTCTTGATCTTTATTTTCACGCTGACAACGTCGCGGAACTTCTTTTTGGGATTTAAACGAGAAATCCTCGAAAAACGGTGTTTTCGAAAACCTCTTGTTTTTTCTTCAGTTTAACTTTTTTCACTCGGTTCTTTTTGTGCATTCGATAGGTCTTGTTTCTGTCTATGATGTAGACAACGTCGCCGAGCTTACTTCTTTGCTTATGCCGGTTTTTTTTTGTGAAAAATACAAAAAAGTGCGTTTTTCTTTACCTTGTTCTCTTTCTGTGCTTTTGCAGCGAATTTTTTCCAGTTTGGACGATACTTGCTCAGAATGATGAGCGGAAGAATCCAGACAACGTCGCAGCGTACGAAATGACTATGCGGGGGTGAAAATTTGAAGGACGCATCAAAAACAGATTGGCGTCGATGTGCAACACAACTTTACAGACATGTTTAACATGTTCAATTCAGTTGTTGACAAGTTCTTCTTCTTTCGGTCTCCCAACTAACGCCACAGCTAAACAGCGCTTTTTTGACTGGAAAAGAACTCTGTGTTGTTGTCACCCAATTTTAACGGCAATCCTGGAGACGAAACTCTGCGTAGGAAACCACCAAGTTAAGGTTTCAGATTTGATGATGTGCTAACCTCTGCTTTATATGAATTTTCTAAGTTTTCTAATTTAATTTGTATCTCTCAATTTTCGTCTATTTTTCTGAAACAACCTTCACTTTTTATAGGGGACAAGAACTCAAACAACTATCACTTTCAAGCCCTTGTCTCTTGACTATCGAAGGTATGGGAGTCACTGACTAGCAGTAAACGATCTCTTCGGCTGTCTGGTATCTTCTTCTCTCTCAATCTCTCTGCGACTTGCAGGCGTCAAATTCGCTGCGCCGCAACGCATGCTTTTTGGGCTACTCAGGCGTAATTATATCTTTTTGAATTATTTTTCATGTTTACTTTGTAGGTTCTTGTTTAGTTTATTCCCGTGCAAGGTGCTCAAAAATTCTGTGCTTTTCTGCACAGATGGTCTTTTGCACTACAGCGTCATTAGAATGGCCGATTGACTTTCGAGTTATTAAACTCAAGAACAGTTTTCTCGCAGACTCTTTCCTTTCACCAAGTCGAAATCTGGTAGCTACATTCACATGTCACACTTTTCGAAATCCTTTATTTCGCCCATTTGCACATTGTATTTCAAAGGTTCGTTCTTTTTCACATGACCGTTGCCGATGTGTTGCGACTTGGATTTTGCAGCGTTGAATCACCGATTTCGTGCTGAAAAAATGTTAAAATCGTTGTGGTTTGTTTGCCAAAATTATACCTTCAGGCGCTCGATGTTCCTCTCGATTTGAGCAGAGTCAAGTGTAGAGACCGAGCCACCATGATCTACTGCAATCTTTTTGATGCTCATATGGTTGAGCTTTTTCGCCGATGACGATGTGGACAATACACGCATGGCTTCTGAATCAGTCGGTATAAATGCTACTGTAGTTGTAAAACTTCGAACTTACTAGAAGAAGTACTGAGCCATCTAGCTGCCACAAGAGAGTAGTAGAGCGGCACAAAAACGGCCAGACACTCGAGCAGGGTCACAATGTTTGACTGGAATTAGCAAACCATTGCTCTCTACTTTACTAGAAAATGCGAAGCTCACATCAAACATGACCAGATTGTGGCTATTGTACTTGAAAGAATGAACTTGACCATGCGAAGTTTTTCTTTACAAACGTGTTTTTGTGTTTTCTGCAGCATTCTCCTGTCTGAACTGGAATACTATTAACTCAGAAAATACATTGCAACAGCATTGAAATCCTTTTCTTTTCAGATAGAGAACTGTGAGACGAGTTCTGTTGTCCTCAAAGTATTGGGTAGTTTCAAATGTTCTAGCCTTTCTTTGTACCTCTTTTCACGCTGCTGATTTTGAAGAAAGAAACTGTTTTTCATGGCATCGCTTATACCATTTGATAGCTCTTTTTTCTAGATTTCCTTGTATGCTTTCGTTTACATAAAGCTTTTTTCATTATGTGGTTCCGTACCTTAAAAGGATATCAAAACAAATGTGAAAGTTTTCGTTTTTGCTCCATTGCCAGAAATCTACACCCAGAGGAGCAAATTTCTTTCAAAATCATATCATTCATCCTCTTCCTAACACGATTCCAACTTAAGGTGACGATTTGCTAGACGATATATATCGCCGATACCGTTTCCGGATGGCGAACTCTAGTCTGCAGTTTCGTTTGAGGAAACGTTATTCTGAAAGAGTTATGAAGGAAGTTTTCCTGACGGCGCGAAAAATGCCTTCGAATATGCGAGCTGCTGCTACAACCGTAGGTGGTTGAATGGTGCATTGGATAGTGGCTTGGACTGCGGAGCTGGACGTCCTGGGATGCCCTCCGTTTTGCATTTCTGTAAATTTACCACACAAATTGCCAAGCTTGTCGACATCGAAGATGTCGATTTTTATGCTACGGGGCAGTAAAATCACATTATAAGCAGAGAATCGCTCTCTTTCACTGATAAACACGTATTTTTTGTCTTTTTGACAGAATATTTTACTCAAATTCGCTCCAAAACTGCGACATCTTTAACATGAAAAGGAGCAGTTGACTTGTTAATTATGGCGTTGCTTCTGTTTTTGTGGTCCACATGTTATTGATTATTTGATACAACGTTCTTTTCTCAACTGGTAATCGCGCATCTCCTCAAGGAGTTCGGCTTGTGCGAGCTTCGGTCGCCCTCCAGGAAGGAAAAACGCATAATAGAAAGGTTTTCGTACCTTCTGCGCCAGGCCTCCTACGACAACCTGGAGGTCGACAGTGACGAAGAAATTGTTACTGCAGAAGATGAACTTGATTCGTCATGGTCGGTGGATGAAGAGGAGGGCCAATCAACCAAAACGGGAGGATCGATAAGATTTGGAAACGTGGAGGTTTAGAGCAAGCGGTATGTGTTACGAAATTAGCTCTCATATTTACGATGAAAATCATTATATAGATAGAAAATGCGATTTCATACTATCGCTCCACAGCGAAGGGTAGTCGCCCACTCAAGACAGTGAACTTTTCGATTCATTGCTTCGGAAAATCATCTTCAAAAATTGAGAGTTTTGGAGAAAAAGGGTAGGCGGATTTGAATATAAAAATTTGCTACGATATCTCTGCTTAGGACGCATTCATGCGGGTAGAATCGTACGACTGAGGAGAATTGCCGAAAAGCTGCACAGAATGGTAAATCAGAAGTTTGATTTGGGTGTAGCATTGCACGACAACGACATCCGTCGTCTCGCTCTGAAAATCAACTGTGAAGAATTTAATGTAGAAGGACTCATAGCTGGCAACCGCTGGATCCAGGAGTAAGAAAGGAGTGGTAGTTTCGCGACATATCACTGCTTCAACCTGCAAGAGAAAATACCTGGACAGCGGTCGCCTAGCTGATACAGCGCGCGCTTTCGTGCTAGAGGTGAAGGCAGGTAAAAAATCTTATGTGCTCGAAATGTGCTGAAATTTGAAGTTTTATTCTAGAGATGCAGCGTTGGCCTTTTAGTGCCATTTGCAATGCCGATCGGAGTGCTTTCCCAAAGAAAATGCACGGAGGTCGGTCGCTTGCAAAGGCTCAAGGAGCATGCTGCGAGTAGTTCAATCAGTTTCTGCTACCAGTCACTCCTTCACGGTCATGCCCACAATCTATGCGGATGGGCACGTAGGGAAGAAACATTTTATTGTACTGCAGGTACTTTACCGAAATTCCAAGTTCAGTCAACACAATCATTTTTCGCCAGGAAAAACAAGGAGTCCCCCCACAAGGGGTTACTTTCGGGCCGAGAATGTGGAGCAACGCGCCAACTCCACACATATCATGAACAAAGAATTGCTTGTCGATTGGGTGAAATCTTGTTTGTTTTCCACAAGCAACTCTGCCAGAACGTTTTTGCTAGTAGAGTCATGGTCTTCTTTCAAAGATCACTGCACTTGAAGCTGCTGTGCCAAGTGGTCAACAGATAAATCAAAAATATCCCTCCCGGTACTACTGCTAAAATACAACTTTTAGATGTATTCTTTTTTCTCCAATTCAAAGCAATGTATAAGCGATTCAGCTCCTACGTCATCAGAACCTAAATTTCTGTTTGCACAGTAGGGATTCAGTTATAAACTACATTCACTCATTAATGCTCAATTTTCTGCTCCTAGATTTTCTTTTCATAAGTACTTCTGGTTCGCTGCAGGGTATCTTGATGAGCATTCTGGCTCCTTCGAAACTCCGTCACAGTTTTGCTTTTCTTAAGATTTAATAGGGGCATGTAAGTAGATGGCTGTGAAGAAGTCCTTTTCATTCGGTGCGCGTACTGTGAAAGTGTCTTCTGTTTCGAACATTTTGTAATTTCGTATTGTGTTCTTGAATTTTTTGGAACGAATTTGAGTAAAATATTCTGTCAGAAAGGCAAAAAATACGTGTTTATCAGTGAAAGAGAGCGATCTTCTGCTTATAATGTGATTTTACTGTCCCGTAGCATGAAAATCGACATTTCTTCGATGTCGACAAGTTTGGCAATTTGTCTGGTAAAATTTACAGAAATGCAAAAGGAGGGCATCCCAGGACGTCCAGCTCCGCAGTCCAAGCACTATCCAATGCACCATTCGACCACCTACGGTTCTAGCAGCAGCTCGCATATTCGAAGGCATTTTTCACTCCATTAGGTTTTTTCCTTCATAACTCTTTCAGAATAACGTTTCCGCAGACGAAACTGCAGACTAGAGTTCGCCATCTGGAGACGGTATCGGCGATATACATCGTCTAGTAAATCGTCACCTTAAGTTGGGATCGCTCCCTTGTAAGGCACACGGGCACGCTTTGCGTATAATAAAAAGTTTTTGAGTGCGTTTTAACGCGTATTGGAGAATTACTAGATATCAGGAAGCTGTGAAAAAACATGTTCAGAGTAGCGTTGTTCAACGAGCCCGAACATGTTCTTCCACGAATTCCTTATAGTAAACTAGCTGACTTACCCGGCTCCGCCCGTCCCTGTCAAGACACTATGACAGATACACTCTTATCCCTATTCTTGTTCAACCTTTCCCTGTGCCCACGACTACATGCCAATTCACTATTCTGTTTTAGTAATCAGCATGCTCGATTATCCCCCTATGCCAACGCTCAAACTTTGCAAAAAAATCGATAAAATAGGTAAAAGTAATGGATGATTTCAAAAACTACTAGTATTCGTAATCAGTATGCTCGATTACCCTCTGTGTAAATTCCCGGGCCCGCAGGTCAAACTCTACAAGAAATCGATAATAATCGATGAAATCGATATCGATCGATGACGAAGAGTGGCCTATGGCACCCGCCCGATCCCGAAGTGAATGTGTACCAAGTTTGGTCCGGATCGGTTCAGAAATGGAATTTTCTATTCGGAACAGCAGAGACAGACAAACAAACAGATAGACAGACAGACATACAGACAAACAGACATTCAGCTTTATATATAAGAAGATCATGCAAAACGCATCAGAACGAGCAGGAACATGTTAATCAGACGTACGCAAAGCGTACGTCTGATTAACATGTTCCTGAGCTCGTTCTGATGCGTTTTAGTCAGAGAATGAATGATATGTAACTTTGCTAAGGACTCGCCCTACGAATTGGTTCTTTAGATACAATTTTAAAAACGTTTTGAACCTCTATAATTTTATAGATGAACACCTGTAAGTCGTATAAAAATCATAAGTGCAGTGCAATCGTGGTATTTTACGCTATAGAGTCAGATTAGGCCTAGAGCATTTATTATTAAAAAAATGAAAAGTTTTACTCGTTTGTCAGCAGTGAAAGAAGAAAACTCAAGAAAGTTCATTTTCCACCACCTTAGAGAGCAAGATAGGTGGGTTTTGTCAAAGTTGAAAAAAAAACCTTTTTTTTCTGAAAAAGTTCGGAAAAGTCTAAGGTTGGCAGTATTGCTTAGTGTGGGTTATAGGATACAAAGTGAATTTCAATGCTAGTTATGGTTTCTCAGAGGTTTCTGCGAGGAGATATTCGTCGATTTTCCTGGAACATTTTTCGCGTTGTTGCCAATGATTTTGTGTGTGTAGAAGTGCCAAAGATTTTTAGATCGTAACACAATTTATTGCAGCTGCAAATTAACCCGAGCTTCGATAACCTTGAAACATCCTAGCGCATTCTTGCCGTTTCGTTTTGGCCTACTCTGCGATAAAATACTCCTTTTTTTCTAAAGTCCACGGAAATCTAATGCGCATTACGGTAAAGGGCCAGGCATACTTCACGCGATTTGAGTCGCGAGTCGCGACGCGATTTGGCAGTATCCCAACTGTCCATAACTCACTGTTGCCCATTTTCAAATGCACAGAAGATAGGGCATTTTATCAGTCCATGTAAATTATACACACTATGCATGTGCAGTTTGCTAGTGTTGGATCTCAAGACTTCTGGCAAATTGCCAAATCGCGTCGCGACTGAAACCGCGTGAAGAATGCCCGGCGCTTAACTTCAATATGCACTCAAAGTTCTTGACATGAGGGATAGAGCAAACATGGATCGCGACCATATGTGAAATTTTTAGACATGCTTCGGGTTTTGCTCGCTGCTTTTCGTTCCACGTCTGAAAATAGCAGTTTTTGTGTGTTTTCTGTACTTAAGCGATTTCAGTAATCTAGTAAATATTTATTCAGCTCAATTCAAACAATTATCTTTAACGTGGACTGATCTCTTGTGATTTTTGCGCAAAAAGCAGCAGTCGTTGGAATGTTCGTCGTGGAATCAATCTGAAATATTTTGCATTGACAAGGAGTAGGTTGTGCTGTTGAGACCACTAAAATAGTTCAAAGGGCATAAAGCTAGAGATTTTTAGGCAGTGTAGGCAAATCTGGTTCCATGTGCTTCTTATGTGAAAGCTGGGGGAGCCTCTGGACATGAAGCAGCTCCTATGATTCATACGAGTCGATAAATCTGCCTCTAAACTCTTGCCCAGTACCGTAACAAGCGAGCCAATCAGGGTCCTCTGTACGATACTGGGCGAGGTACAGAGCTGGATTTCTCGTTCAGCATGATTCATGTGAGCTGCTCGGGCAGTGGCACAGTTAAGGCCCCAAGAAATTATTCAAGGGAGAGGGGCGAGCGCAATTCAAAAAGATGTGGGGATGCTTTCCGAATTTGTTAGGGGCTCACAGTTGAAAGCTTCCCCCCCCCCCCCCACCCCCGTGGTAACCACTTGAGAGATGCAGGTATTCAGTTGGTTGCACACTAGTTTTGTCATTGAAAAAATGGATAACGGCTAAAAATTTAAACCTTGAAAGTTTTATTCCCATGGTTCTGACTACTCCCAGTTCAGCAATAACTCTTTGGATTTGAGCATCCATACACGTACCCTTTCAAGGCGTACAAAAAGTATATCGACTTGGGCAGTAGTAAAATCCTCTTGCTTGTAAGAACTGCGTAGAGGACCTCTTCGGCGACGTATTGAGGTGACATAAATTCTGTTCTTCGGGAAAGCCTAAAATGCTGCTATAACTATGCAGGAGATAGATGAAATCTTAGAAACTCACGGAATATTATTACACATATTCGTACGGATATATGATGGACAAACGGTTGTGAAATTAATGTTATGGCCGCGATGAAACATCTCATTTTCTAGGGCTTCCTACAAAAGTCTGAGATAGGCAAGAAATTTTCTATATGCGATTCGTCGCACGCAGAGAAAGAACGCCATTGTGAACGCTATTAGCGTCTCTCTGATCATGCGTTCTCTCATTTCTCTTGTCGTCTGCCGTCTCCTCCAGCACCTAACTATCTCATTCGGACGCAAGAACGTCCAGTCTTTGCGTGCAATGATTCGACTATACAAGTTTTCGAAGTAAAGAAAAAAGCGGATTTAAGCAAGTAGGTGATGATCACAAACCTGAAATCCAAATGCGCCGAATTTTGACGCTGAGTAGTCGACGAGATCTGCAATTTGCTAATTTTTTGAAAATCTGCATAAAATGTTCTAATTTTCTCGAGTTTTTTTTTTTCAATAAAAGCGGTGATCTTGAATCAATAAAAAGTTAGCCTAAGTTCAGTTTGCACTTTAGATAACCATCAAGCACTGCTCATTGCCCAAACTTTCCCTCCTTTCCCCGCTTTAGTAATATTAATTGCTTTTTCAAGCGCTAATGCTCGAAAAAAAACTTTGTAAAAAAAGCTTCACCTCCATTCTCAGTTGCAAATTACCGTATCAGAATAATCTCATGAGGTTTTCATGATAGATTACACAAAGAAATATGTAAAGGTGGAAAGCGACCATGGTAAGTTACGAAGAAAGAAATTTGTTGGCAAATTTCCATCAATAAGAAACTTCATTTTTACGTTGTACTGGACTAGCTCATTGGGATTATATGCCCTAGGTAGATTGTATAGTTCTTTGATGCAGAAATGGCAAGCGAATGGGTAAGCCTGCACGAACCACCATCTACTTTCATTTCTATGATGCACTTTTGCACCAAAGAAAAATTTGAGTGTAAAAAATTAAAGATTATTTTGTTGTTAATTTAATGGTTATTAAAATGGACACGTTTTTCTTCTGCTGATAGTACTTCCATTTTTTGATTTTTCGAAATCTCTCATTCAAATTTTTGCAATTTTTTATTTCTTTACTAGTGCTGAAAAGGTACCTTTAGCTCCAACAATCCCCGAAAGTGAACAAATGCATACTATATGTCCATCATTTCGTTCAATCATTTGTGGTAGAAAAGCTTTCGCCATCTAAACACATTTTATAGCATTTGCCCTTAACATTGGTGAAATATCTCACCCAGATATGCGCCAGCATATTTACTCGTACAGTTTTTTCGATAAATTCATCACATTTATCCAGGAAATCTCCACCATCTCTTAGTATACCGGCATTGTTGATAAGTATGTCAACAGGACCAATATCGGAGGTTACGGTAGATGCAAATTGGTAGATTGATTGCCGATCGGACATGTCTACACGGTAGCTGTGCGCCTAAACACATATTTTGCTTATTTCAGAATTACTCGACTTGTTTGTATCTCAATATGTGCATTTGCACACTATACACAACAACCGAGGACTTCTTGATTAGTAAATCCTCGGTGGAACCTTTTTTGGTGAAATTGTAGAAAGGTGTACTACTGTGTACTAACCTATTCACATCCAATTAATTGAGAAGCGACAAGAAAATAAGGAGAAACCGGAAACGAGCAGATTCTAACGTTAAATGTCGTCAAGTAGTGCGTATGGTGTGCAATACTTCATTGAATTACGAATGATCCGGCGATACGTACTAGCTTACACAAACATCATTCACCAGTGCGGATCGAGGCCTAGGGGTGGGGAGCTCCATCAAATAGAGGCTTATATGTGTAGAAGACTCATGAAAAGAATATAGCCCAAATCTCAATACCTGCTGCGCTCCTATAGCTTTCAAATTATTTCAAAATTAAGTGGCCACTGGAACGCAGGTAATATTCGCAAATTTTTATTTTGCGTTTTCAAAAGAATAGTTTCTGACTAGCGGAACTACTATGATTTGATAGCGCAAAACCTCTCTCTACATTGTATGCAGCAAAGTGTTTAGATCGCAGTTATGGCGAAATATTGAATATCAAAAATTTTGATTTTTTCGCCTTACAGAAGCACTTATTTGATAAATCCAATTCTTACGAAAACATATAAAGCATTTTCAGCTAGGTAAAGTGTAATTTGAAGAAGATGATCGCAGCATTATGTGGCACAAATTTGGAATCCAAAACATCTATAGTGTCGTGATTTACAATACTGCAAAGTCTGCTCCCAGACCTTTGCCACATATTGTACTTTATTGAAATACTCTCAATTCTCAAAAAATTGGAATTAGCTAAATTCCTCGGTTGCATGACTCCCTTCATTCTTCTTCCGTTGCCCTTCCCTGCTCTCCGGAACAAATCTGGAATCGTCCTTGCAATTTGCCCATCTAATGGCGATCCGAGAAATTATTTTGTGGGGGGGGGGGGGATTTTTCAAATCAACAAGCTAGTCTGACCACCTTTCAAAAAGCTTTTGGATGCTTTCCAGATTTTTGGCGAGCTTTTAACCCAAAGTTGCCCGCAAATATTCGCGAAATCGTATGATTTGATGCTTTGAAAATATCAGGTCTTATTTTTTCAGAAGTGAAAACAAGTCCCATTTACACTATAAATCATGTAGGGAATTTTCATAGATTTTGCGATCACTCTTGAAGGGGGAGAAGGCACTCCCATTGATCGATTCGAAACAAATTTTTTAACATTATTACTCACCTCTGCCCCGATTTCTTTGCAGATTTTTCTCGTTTCCTCGTTGCCCTCTTCATCGATATCGCAGAGCACTAATCTGCAACCCGTCGTAGCAAATTTTACGGCTATCTGACGTCCAAGTCCATTAGCAGCACCGGTAATGAGGACAACCTGAAGGATGTGACATTTTCTTCTGCAAGTAAGTCAGATCGAAACTCTGCACCTGTCCTGCTATGTCCCTAGGTTTCTTAAGTCGTCGTGGTCCAAAGTTGCTTACAAAGGCGTCGCAAAACTCATAAATTATAGTAAAAACCATAGAAATATGAGATCTTGGCAAGTTGCCCAAAAACCCTGTGAGACACTTTTACATTATATTTCAATGAAAAAAAGGGAAGAATCAGTTGAGATCAGCACAAAAGTACGACAGTTTATTGCAGCAATGATTTTGTCAAAATAGTCGAGTTATTTGGCAAAAGTCCAGTTGGCACATACAATTAGGAATTATAAAAGAAGAAGGGAACTGGAAGTAGAATTTCCTGCTATGCCAGAAATTTTTTAATTTTTACGAAAAATTATGTTTATGCAGCTTATTCGCGTGGGTGTGAAAGATTTGATTTTTTTATGTTTTAGTGCAGATAAATTCTTAGATGGAGATAGTAAGGCACGCATAAAATGTTCAAATAGTGTTATCTCGTATATAACACTCTATTTCCTCTCAACGAATTTGGAAACTAAGAAATGATGTTGCGAAATGTGAGGGAGCTAAATGATTAAATTTGCCTCTTTAATGAGTCCGCCTAAACTCGTGACGAAGAAGGGAAATAAACTATCTCGATTGTAAAATGAAATTAGATTGACTCTTAAAAACTGCACCAAAAATTCTAGAAAATTCATTGTAAGATTATTTGGAAGCGCATCTGAAATTATGCCATATAATTTTAATCATGTTATATGAATGACTTTATTGCAGGCTTTATAAATTTTCACCACAACAAACCCGAAAGTAAATCTCAAAAAAATCAATTTGCCAATAAGCCTTTATAGTAACCGCAACGCAACCGCTTCGCGATTGCACGCGCTGATAGAGAGACCATGAACGGCTAGGGTGGCAGCACTTCACTATTGAAGAGAATTACACAATAAATGATGTTTTGCGATGGACTTTTGGAGAAATTGGAGGGGAAAGTGCAAAATTGTGGATAGGTGAACTTTCCTTTCGAAGCTTCTCCCAGAAAACTGCAACGCTAGCGGATTTTGCAATAAAAAATGGAGAACACGCGCATGAAGTGCGAATTTCAAGGATACTGCTGCTGATACACATCTTTTTTATTACAGAGGGAGTACCCGTTGTTTCCACCGAAATTGCACTAAGCCAGTAGGTCAGTGACATTAATTTGAGTTAGATTGGCACTTTTAGTAGAACGAGTAAAGGGCATGATTGATGGTTTGCATTATTTTTGTGAAGACCAAATTACGAGTAAAAATCACAGTTTGAAATTCGAATCTGAATATTCTTACTAAATTCATATGCCTTGCACCATATTTTTCTAAAATTGTAAGTTTTCGTTTTAGGCAAATTAGATTAATACAACGTAGCTTAGAAGAAAATTATGATATCAAATTATCATTCAAAAAAAACTGTTAGCATATTACGACGATACAACCCAATCAAGGAGAACACTACAAAAATTTTACTTTCTGATTTTGAAGATGTTGGAAGGTTAACAGATACAGTTTCTATTTTTTTAACTCGATATTTTGATTTTATTTAAATCTAAATCTTTAATATATTAGGTTGAACCGAAAGTTCTTTCCCCCCATTTTCAAAAATTCATAACTTCCCATTCTTTCAACCAATTTGGCTGCAGTTATTTTTATATGAAAGAGTAACTCATGCCCTTCATAACGACATCTTAGCTGCTTGCTAATGATCATTTGTTGCATAGATAGGAGCGATGGAAGAAAATTGGTCAAAATTTGAATTTTCTTTGTAGGGTCATAAAAAAATGGGAAACTTGCAAGAAAAATCGGAGCAGCCAGTATTGTAGGTTCTTTTACCAGCTCTTTCTAATGTTGCAAAGTTTGTACCGATTGAGCGTCTCTATCAAAAGTTATGATTTGCGAGCAAGCAATACAAAAGGGCGAATTTGATTCATTTTGGCATTTTTCAGGGAAATTGTAACTTTTGATAAAGACGCTCAATCGCTGCAAATTTTGCACCATTAGAAAGAGCTGGTAAAAGGACCTACAATACTGACTGCTCCGATTTTTCTTGCAAGTTTCCGATTTTTTATGACCCTACACAGAAAATTCAAATTTTGACTAATTTTCTTCTATCGCTCCTAACTATGCAACAGATGACCATTAGCAAGCAGCTAAGATGTCATTATGAAGGGCATGAGTTACTCTTTCATATAAAAATAACTGCAGCCAAATTTGTTGAAAAAATCGGAAGTTATGGATTTTTGAAAATGGGGGGAAAGAATTTTCGGTTCAACCTAATACATAGTGAAGTAAAACTTGCTGTAAGTCACAAAAAATACAGGATGAATGAGAATGTTTCAGAAATTTTCAGGGAATTTCCTCAGCAAATTATGCATGACTTATAAATTAACCTAATCCTTTACCTTATCGAAATGAACTTATTGGGTTGGAAAAAAATGGGTTGGTTTTGGCATGCAAGTCTTCATTAGAATATTTTCTTGTTGTTTTCTATCTATGATTCTTTGTGGGAAAATAATTGAAGCCTCGTCTATCATATACTAAACATTCAGGATTTTCTATCATGAGTAAAGATAGTTATGCCTCAACATGGTTAAATTTTCAAAAGCTCAATTCTTTCACTTTCTAAGCTCCGTTTGCATGCTGTAAAAATAAAGAAAATGGCAGTTTGGTGAGTTTTCCCTATTTAGTGAATAAAAATGTAAATTGTGATTCGCCACTTTGAAAACCTTTTTTATCAAAAAAAAAAACAATTTTTTCATATTTGCGCACTATGAGAAAATTGAGATTTCTCATTTCTTTGCGGATTTTTCTCCTTAGAAGATAAGTTGTACACAAACGCAATTTATGCTCCAATTCTCGAAATGGTTTTTCCAGAGGACACCAAACACTGGACAAAAACTCGCCTGCAGCATCTGTAAGAGCCAAAAAAGCAACCAAACTTAGTAAATAGTTCATTTTCAAAATTGATTTCCATAACACAACATTAATAATGTACGAGACTTTGTATATTTCTACCTCTATTTTTATTTCTAGTATTTATTAGCCAATCGAATATTTCCTTATGAATTGTACAGAAAGATAAAATATGAAAATCGTAGATGAACACCATGACTCTTTAAAAGAGTATGATGCATGACTAATGAAGCCCTAAGAGGCATAGGTCATGGTCACGATAAGGAGCTACTAAAATTGGGTTAAGTAAACAGCGAGTGCTGCTGCCCTGCTCTGACTATGATCGTCACTTGTCGATAGTCATTTTCTCGAGTTTAGCACGATTTAGATAGGATATGAAAGTTGAAGTAGAACGGAAAAATCATATGGTACCAGCGAACAGAATGATCTAATTGGTATCATTATCATGCGTTGAGATCGTGAAATGCCGACAGGGTTCAATTGAAACGCAACCTTGAAGGTTAGTAGAGACATTTCTCAAGGTTGCTAGGTATAGTAGGCACCCTATTTAGAAGAATGGCCTGAACTGTAAATATTAGGTGGGTCCGAAAGTTCGTGCCGTTTTTTAGACCTGTTCTAGAATCGTTCAAAATGAAGGTAGACAAGTCTTTCAGAAAATGTCCATGCGGAATTTCTTCCTCTTTCCAGCGGCTCTGTTTCCATTATGACTGTTTTGGAGAGCGCTGAGATAATTGCCAAAAACAAGAAACCTTCATTTTTACCACGTCTAGCTTTAGCTAATTTTCATAATTTTCATTTTAGACTTTGAAGGTGCTCCAATAACAATCTGATAAGGCAAACCTTTTTCAAATTAATGCAATTTTTTGCACCTCTTTGGCATGCTTTCTAGATTTATTAAAATACTAACTAGCTGGTTTACCCGGCTCCGCCGGACCTGTCAACACACTATAATAAAGCTCTCATTCAAATCCCTGTAATCTTTCCCTGTGATCACGTCTACATGCCATATTCCCGCTCTTCTAGTAATCAGCATGCCCACTTACCACACTGTGCCAAATACCAGCCCCATAGGTCTGCTTTGCAAAAAATTGATGAAACCGATAAAAGTGACAGATAATTCCAAAAACTAATATTGTAATCGTAATCAGCATGCTCGATCCCCCCCCCCTCCTCCCCTATGCCAACTCTCAGCCCCGTGACTCAAACTTTGTAAAAAATCGATATAAATCGATAAAATCGATGTTTTTCGATCGAAAAGTAGCCTATGACACCAGCTCCACGAAATGTGTGTGTGTGCCGAGTTTGGTCTGGATCGGTTAAATAAAAAGGTACTTTTCCGTCATCCGGACCCATTTTTTCAAAAAGCTCTCATAATATACATTCTTCAGTCTAAAAACAATTTTTTATGGATTCCACGAGGACTGCCTTCCTGCCACGTGTCAGAAAAATATTAACACGTTTTGGTCCAGTCTGACATGTTTTTTTCGAAATCACTTCCGGTGAGGTAAAAGAGCATTGTGATCACCTAAAAGCTGTTTAATTGGTTTGTCTGAGAGGGAACCAATATGAAATTTATATCAGAACATCTTGATCACTTTCAGCAACAATTCAGCATTGTCTTTTTCTTCGTCTTGCGAATTTAGCCAGACGAGGCTATAAATGATGGCTTAAAGCTCCTTGTTATTGCTTGTTTTGTCATTTAGATGATGAGATCTTAGTCTATTTCTCTACTCTTGGCAAGTCTAATCTGTTTAATTAGTAACAGAATGACGTTATTATATAACAATGCTCATTTTTGATAGTTCAATCGGAAATGGGTTCACTATTGACTAATAAAGAGATTGAACTTACGTTGCTAGCAGTGGCGTACCCAGAATTTCGGCTCGGGGGGGGGGGGGGGCGCGACAAAAATTTTTTTCTAATGAAGGTGCGTGGCGTTAGCCACGCACTTCGAAAAAATTTTTGGGGTGCTTCTCAAAATTTTTGCGGGTCTTCGACCCCTAAAATCTGGAAAAAGGGGGCGTGGCGTCAGCCACGCCCCCGAAAAAATTTTTTTTATAAAGCTAAAATGAATTTTCAAAAAATTTAAAAAATTATTTTAATTATTTACAAGTACAGACAAGTCATTTACACAATTTTATAACCCATATAAGTAACTTTCAAAAATTTCGCGACCCG